GTTACTCTTTTTCTCATACTTTTTTTTTCCTTTTAAACGTTGTTGTGTTATTTGATCAGTAGTACATGAACTTCTAGTATTTGCCTGGATAAAATTGATCTGCACACTGGTGGAAGGCGTCTCAGGCAGGGCCTTCTTAATTTCTTTCCCTCTGTTTATTCTGCCTGTCTGTCTGACTTTTTTCTCCCAAAGACGGTTTCTACAGTGTCGATGTGCTGCACTTTTCTTTACGTAAACACTGTGAGATAGAGCATCGTCTTCTGAGGAGATCTTTTAGTTAAAGTAAATATCCCCCCCCCCACTCACCCCCCAATCGTTATAATATGCACGGAGCATCTTTTGCGTGGGACACCATGCCGACCCAAAAGTGACCTCATGGAGAGTGGAGACTCCTACTTATGCATATATGAGGTCCAGTTAGTTCTAAATGGAGCGCTCAAGTTTACTTTTACTGATCTTTCAATAGCGGCGATTATAAAGTGACTATGTTCAGGAATAATGTAATTTACTGAAAACAGTACTCTACTTGATTCTGTGTCTGCTTCTGATATGTAATGGATCTGATGAGCTTTTTGATACTTTTCTTTTTTTAAAATCTTCAACGAAAAGCATGCCGTGAGCACAGTTGGTATCATGTTGGGTTCTGTTGCAATTGATCAGAGAATGGTTGGTGGGTGCTGTGGTGTGGTTTGATCCTTCTTTCCCATCAAACATCTATCATCCTTATCTCTCCTTTTTTTTTTTTTGCTACTCTCTCGTAACACCTCTAATCTTCAGCACTTATGTGACTTAATTGTTTTACAAGTGCTGTAAAACGCTTACTAAAACAGAAGCAGATGATCCTGGTTTAAACCCCCTGGTTTTTTCAGAGAGTTTTCACAGCTCCCTTGCAACTTGGCTTGAACTTAATAAAGGTGATGGACGTTGAATTTGGAGATTCTGTTTTTTAAAATAACCTTACGGTTTTGAAAAAACCACCCTTAAAAACCATACCATTACCATGTGTTTTTCTAGGGCAGATGTATCTCTTCAGATGATGGAGAGAGCTGTGTAGAGTATTATAGAAAAATGTATTTGAAATCGCGAATCTCTGGGTCAGTTACCTTTAACTTGAATACCACAAGATAATCTTTATGTATGTGACATTTGATGCACAGGCTTATCAGTTTTCCCCACGTAAAGCCAGAGGCTTTCCTGATAGGCGTCATATTACACATATTTTTCGTTGGTCGGGAGTGTGTGTGTGTGTGGGTGGCACAGGCTTTGCACGTGTATGTATGGGAGAGAGTTTTAGTAGTGGGGGTGGTAGTGTGTGTGTGTGTGTGTGTGTGTGTGTGTGTGTGTGTATGGAAAGGGGATGGGGGGGAGTAGGTCGGATAAAGGTGTTTGTGGGTGTACATGAGAATGTTTATAGATGCATTTGTGATGGAAAAAAGCATTAGAAAAAATAGTATTCAAACAATACGGTTCTGAAGCTACCGATCATTCAAATACCATTCAACAGAAACTATTTATTTGACAGGTTGATCAAATTTACATCTTTGAGAAAGAGGATTTCTTGTATTTCACAAACTGCTATGAGGAATGGAGGGTGAACGGAGCAAAATTATTGTTTTTCCCTCTCATTATGAATTAAAAAAATTACAACTCCACCAACACAATTTAGATAAATTAGGAGGCGGCTGCTTGAACCCTGCCAGTCAGGACCAACCCGAATGGAATGGAATACAGCATCCTGAGCTAGCACAGACAGATGGAGGTATCGCGACTTGACAAAATAACTGCTCCTTTTGGATTTTGGGAACTGAACTTGCACCTTAATTTTTAAATAGCAAATTCAAATAGCCAAAGCGTTACAACACAGACACTAGTTTGGGGGTGGGGGGAGGGGGTGAGGGGGGGGGGGTTCATGGAGAGGTAACAGGTGAAAAGGATTAATAGATTCAATTGATACATAAATAAATAAGCCCAGGACAACAAGAATTTTTCCTCACGGTTAATGTTTATTAGGAAAATTGGCAATACATAGCAAAATCTACAAATCACAGAGAACCAGCTCTGATACGTCCATGGTTGATCAAAAAGCATACATGATAATATGATATCATGCTTTGAAAGAGAATTTTCAACAACAGCTACTAATGACACATTTCAAGCTTTTTTGTTGCTGTAATAAATCACAGCAATAAAGCAACAAAGCTACAAGAACGCACTTCCAACTTTTTTTGTTGTAATAAATCACAGCAATAAAGCAACAAAGCTACAAGAACGCACTTCCTACTTTTTTTGTTGTAATAAAAAACAGCAATAAAGCAACAAAGCTACAAGAACGCACTTCCTACTTTTTTTGTTGTAATAAATCACAGCAATAAGGCAACAAAGCTAAAAGAACGCACTTCTACTGCTTATCATTCTGTTTCTACTTAAAACTACCAAAAAAACCAAAAAAACAAGGAGAAAATCTTGAAATGAAGAGGAAGGTGCTGTCTTTATTTGTTTGAGAGTTTAAGAATGTGAAGTTAAAGAAAGAAGGAGAAAATGCTGAAGGGAAATTTTCAAAGGCGAGTAATAATAAAAAAAAAGAAGTCTTCCTGATGGGACAGGGCAGGTGGAGATATGGCCAGTGTCAATCTACGTTTACCCAAATCAATTTCTAGAGGTTTGCATAAAACCATCATTTGAATAAAGGCATCAAAGGGCATTTTCATTACAGTATCATTCTGTTCCATTACTTCTTTATTAGTTTTTAATTGAAAAATAACAAGTGCCCAGGTCTTGATTCTGAATAAGGTGCTTTTTTGTTAATTTTCTTGAAACTTCAATAAACAATTAATTAAAGCATTTGTAATGATGCTGTAAATATGAATTGGTAAACAGTGTCATTTTACAGGGTTTAGCATGACCAATATTTCACCCTGAATATGTAAGCCAATAGATCAGTGGAGCAGGTTTCACTCTATATGCAGCTCCATGGTCCACGGTTATAAAATACTCATGAGGGGATGCAAATATGCAACAACATAGTAATACCAAAACGTTTTTTTCTCAGATTCATTTAAAAGCAGTTGGACAAGTTATCTGGTACATTTTATAGTAATGTACCATCTGTATGTGATGCATTGATGACACAAATGTAAAATATAATAGAGAATTCATCCCATTATATTTCTGTTTGGTGATATCTTAGTCTTAAAGTATTCCCCGTTCAGCAGAACCAAAGGTAGATGAGGAACATTCTCTCAGAGATTTTATTCAATTTTCATTCTCTTTACATTTTGGTTTCTGACCATAAGTCTAAAGAGAAGCATTTCTTGACTATTAACCCCTGAGAAGGGTCAGAAAAAAGATGTGACAGCAGACAGAAATGACAACTGAAAAAGAAAAGAAGCTGGACCTATCAGTAGAAGAATCTCCCAACAACTTGCACCATCCTCCCTCATATATCTGCTTCCAGTCCTGAGAAATGTGTCAAAGGTAACCTCACAGCAAGAGCTAGAGACGGCAACTGCATATATTTCTAAAGAGCAAATTAGTTTTTTCTCTTTAAGAGGGCCTAATGATTGAGACAAAAGCCAACAATAGGTAACAAACTATGATCACTTCTGAGATTCCTCTTCTGTTTATGCTGACATAATCTTGGATAATCAGTTCAATTTAAAAAAACCCACTTCAAAGCATGTTAAAAATGCCTCAATTTATTACTGCTATGTAAAAACCTGTAATATAGAGGTTAGTACTTTCACTATGTTAGAAAAAGTAGTTTTTAAAAAATCATTGAATGCATATCATTTTGACTTTGAGCTCATTGTATCAGAATTTACACCCGCAAGCAAGTGCATACTTAAAACTAAATGCAGAAACATCCCTTGGCCTCAAAAAGCTAAATCAATTGAATGATCTTCAGCAAGAGTGTATGTATGTTTATAATGGTGTAAAGTGTGAATTATGATGTACTGAATCTGTCTGTATGCAGAAAACGATCAATTCTGAGCTCATTTATTTACAATAAATGCAGATTACAATAAATCTTGAAAACACATCTAAGAACTCTGAAATACTCATTTGGCAATACATGGGGACACTTGTACAGACACATAATATAAATATATATAGAGCTTTGATATAACCATTTGCCGGTTTTAGTGAAGTTGTACGTTTATTTTAAGACATGACTGGTTAAATTTATTTGAAAGATGTATAAAGTGACAGAAGACGTGAGCTCCTCAATACAAAAAAATGATAAATGGTCTAATACTTAAAATTAAATACCTTATCATGAATCATGTCCAAATCACAACACTTTTTTAATCTATGGGACAATAGCCC